GTTTCTGCAGCTTTAAGAAGAAAAACAGTAAGCAGAGGAAGTTGCAATAGTTCTGTGCTGCTTGCTGTGAATTGGGTGGTAGGGAAAGAACACAGCATGTATTTGTGATGTTGCATGAAGTAATCTTATGGTGCAACCAATCAAGCATTAGCACGGTGTGTTTGTGCCTTATTGGCTCCTACATCTAAAGTCAGATCTGACAATAGAGAAAAAAAACAGCCCTGTGAAATATACAGGCAGACCCCCGTGAACAACAAGTTCCATTCTCAGTCTATCCTCAACTTTACATTATGTATAAGTCAAAACTTGTACTTAAGAACGGATAACATTTCTTTCCTTGAGCTGAAGAACCGCTGAAACTATGCAATGTGTTTATACACTGCTGAAAACAGGCTTTATATTAAAAATGTGTGGCATATACATACCGTATATTTAATGTAGACTATTTGTTAATTTTATATATTATTTAATTATTGTACAACACTTAGTCAGTTCTTCTAAGATGGGCAACTGCAAATTGATTAATAATTTAAATTTTATATTTGATATAATTATATGCATGCATTTATACAAAGTATGTTGATCACCTACACAAAAATTATAATTTAGACTAGAAAATGACCCTTGTATTTTGTACTTCTAGCACCTCAGCATAATGAGATTTTTAAAAGAATAAAACACTGCATGGATTTTTTATGACTTCATATTAACTTTATTCCTATAAATGGTATATCAAAAATCATGACCTATATATAGACAGTTTATCATATAAAAATACATTAAATGTTTGAATTGGTTGCTATTTTCTTCTAAACACTGGCTTGTTCGTTTGATGCATGACTTTTGGACATTTCTAAGTACAATAACGTTTCCTTTAAATAATGTTCATAAATATATTAATAAAATAATGATATTAATAAAACATGGTGACTGTGGGGTCTGACTTGTGTGTGTGTGTATGTATTTATGTATGTATATATTTATTTGTTTGCAAGTTGGGACTGAGAAATTCAAAGAAAATAGTAACCGAAACATAATAAAAATATATAATTGTTATAGACTGTGAAGATATGTATATAATAAATGTATAAATATTACTGTGTGCTGTTCGCATTTTATGATTGTTTTTTATTTTTTGCATATGAAATGGAAATGTAGATTTACATCCTTATAGGTTTTAGAAAAAACTTAGTTTTCTTAGCCTAATATAGTGTTATCTTTTTAATTCAATAGATTGATATGCTGTTGAAGGAGTACCTCCTTTCAGGAGATGTTTCTGAAGTGGAACGTTGTCTTCAAGAGTTAGAAGTACCTCATTTTCACCATGAACTTGTATATGAAGTAAGGCAGGAATAAAACATAAAAATTGGCAGTAGTAATTTAATTGTTTAATAATCAAAAAATATAAACATATAGGAAAGATTATGACTAGGTAGTTTATATAATTATACTATCTGTAATGGTTGTCAAGCTACTTCTTGTAAGCAGCCTAGGGTACATAACAGCAATAGCACTTAGACTTATATACCGCTTCACAATGCTTTACAGCCCTCTCTAAGTGGTTTATACAGTCTGCATATTGCCTCCAACAATTTGGGTCCTCATTTTGCCCACCTCTGAAGGATGGAAGGCTGACTCAATCTTGAGCCTGGTGAGATTTGAACTGCCAAATTGCAGTCAGCAGAGGTAGCCTGCAGTACTGCACCTAACTACTGTGCCACCACTGCTCATAAAATACTATTTTAATAGCTTATTTTGATAAACATACATTTTAAATAAGATCCTTTCTGCAGTAAGTGATCCTGTCCAAGCTCATTCAAATGTAATGAAAAACCTAAAACTCTTTAAGAATGCTGAATGTTCTAGATTTAGCCTCTGGTTATCTGCAAGTAAGATGGAAATACCTACTACCTGAAATCATGGAGGGCAGCTGCCAATAATGTTGGAATATTCTAAGTGGACTGGTGAATATGACACAACAGAAATCTTGCCTGAATTCTTTTATAAATTTAAAATGTTTATAAACATTTTGTATATGCATATATTTTATATTATTGAAGCAATTTTTTTGTCAAAAATGAACCTGAATAACAAAGTGTGATTGGATAGCATCAACTTCTTCAATTCTAGCCTCTTTTTGACCCTGATGCAATAGCTAGGGCCTTCTCTATAGTTCAGCAATTTAAAAATACATATTTTTTTAACCATTGTAATTAAAAATTAAATTTATATTTACATTTTAGGCAGTTGTGATGGTTTTGGAATCAACTGGAGAAACAAACTTTAAAATGATGCTCAGTTTGTTGAAATCCCTCTGGAGATCTGCTGTCATCACTATGGACCAAATGAAAAGAGTAAATGTGCATTATACATTCCCAAGTATTATCCATTAATATTTTAATGCTTGATAGATTACACCTATTTGTATTCACCAAGTCACATTAATAGCTCTGCTCTAAATTAAGATTAGATAACAAAATATTTGTTTTGTTACATAACTTGAAAGTATACATTAAAAAAAATAATGGAAACTGCTTTGCAGATCAATGTTAGAACATCTGAGTTTATTTTGATTGGGCAGAAATCTTTGCCATTATTTGCTACTTGACCTATTTATCAGAAAATGCTCTATTTTAGAGCTTTATTTATTGAAATGAAAATTTAAAGGTAATATGAAGATTGACTCTTTATACAGAATCGGTCTGAGATAAATTCTAAATACTTCCACCTAATATTGATGTTGCAGGGTTATGAACGTGTTTATCATGAAATCCCAGACATTAATCTTGATGTTCCACATTCATATTCTGTACTTGAGCGATTTGTAGAGGAATGCTTTAGTGCTGGAATAATTTCAAAACCATTAAGGGATCTCTGTCCTTCCAGGTAAACATTTAAGTATATGTGTATTTGTCTGTATATTTATGTTCGTATGTTTCAGAAATAACTAAAAAGTATGTTGCAAAAGGTTCTTATTCATTATTCATGTGAACGTCTCAGAAATGTGAATAACCCTTTTAAAGCTAGTATTCAAATGTCTATCATATAGACTTGTCCATATTTTGTTGATAATGGGCAACTTGTGTGTCCAAAACTATGTTGCTTAAAACTGTCTATAAAACCATTTATAATTCTAACTAATGACATGTTGATGTCTTTATTAAGACTACATAATGACATACTGCTGCTGAAACACCAGCAGCATATAAAATTATAAGCACCATACAAAATTTTTATTACTGTTGCACTATTTGTTAATTACATATAATTAAAAACCTGCATTTCCTTTCCCATATTGAATCTTTTGTATTTTGCTTTTATTTGGATTAATACTTTATCTGCATTGCTAGGTTGCAGTTAGGCACAATGTGCAGATAGCTAAAGTCTCACTTATTCAAACCAGTAAGGTAAATTTTTTACATTTGTATTTACATTTATTTATTTTTGCAAGACTAGACATATTGCCAGATTCTCTTCTGAGCTCCGCCATATTTTTTGCCAAATACTTTTACATAATATTTGAAACATTCTGTAATTAAATTAAGGGTAAATTCAATTTTTATTTATTAAAACTATTCTGCTTTTCATTTGGTTATGAAGAAAAGTGCTTTTTCTTGGAATCTCTGTTTAGCCTTAATTATGCCAGAGTTTCTTCATAGCTTAATGGTGGCCTTAGCTATTTATTCCTTTTACCAATCTTAATCTTACAAGCAGAAAACCTGGTAATTAAAGTCTGTATGTAGCTGATGTACCCTTGATCAGTTGTTTACTTAATGTATAATTTCCCCAGATTGATGGATAACTCTCTAGTCATGTAAAATAATAGTGGAGATGCTGAAATGATATCTGTGTTTTTTTTTAGGGGAAGGAAACGCTTTGTAAGTGAAGGAGATGGAGGACGTCTGAAGTCTGAGAGCTACTGAATACGTGAATGAACTCTTGCAGCTGTAGATGTTTAAAGGGAATATATGTGTATATATTCTATAGTAATAGTTGCTTAGCACAGTTCATTTATTTTTAAAAGATGCACTTGTTTGGGGCACTAATAATTTCTGACGGTTATATAAACTTGTGTTCATGCAAGAAATCTTCCAACTTTCATTTCTCTGACCTATAGTTGGACAGAACAAATAACCAGATTTCTATGGAAATTTGCAAAAACAAGGCAATCTTTTATTAAGTGCCGTAAATTCATTCCAATCATTCCATGTTTTGCATTAATGCCTGCTTGCAGCTCCTTTCTTTTGAGGACAGCATTTTGTGATAAAATCATTGGTTTATTCAAAGCAATGGGTTATATTAAGCTGCTAGACCTACTTTGCTGCTACCAAGACAGAAAAAAGTTACTTGTTTTAAAGGAGCTAAGACATTTAGTATGATCAAAACATATTTTTCAGAGGACGATCTTGGTCTTTAGTTCAGCAAATGGTGGCTGGAACATCTATTCTTTTTCTATAAAACTGGAAAAAGGGTAATTATAGAGTATATTGTAAAATAAATTTGTGGAGCAAATTCTTAATTTCTAGAAGTACCTGTTGATTTACATTGAAAATTATATCTAAATCTCTCACCTTAGTCCTAAAAGGAGGTACATGTTCATATATTACTTGATTTCATCAGTGAACTAAATTTGGGAATAAACAAGCACAATGCATGTATAATTACATTCTTCCTTTTTTTACATACCTTTAGTATGTTGGGAATATGTTGTAAACTAGGTTCCACTGAGACTACAGTAATGCTATACAGTCATGATATCCTGATGTTTCTTTTTCATAAACATTGTTCATTGGGGCAACTTTCCCTTTGCCAGATGCAATTTACTAATCTGAGCAGTTGTGGAGTCATAAAAATTATTCCAGTAATATGCCAGAAAGGTTGGAGTTGAATGTTTAGAAGTTTAAGGCTGGATCTGGGAAGAGGAAGCCTCTAGAAAGCATACTACTCTCTTTTCCATTAATAAATTTCAGTAGATTTGAGGTTTCTTCAATGTGTTTGCTTTTTAGAAATACCTTTGCTATATTCAGACCTGAATGCTGAAAGCCTACTAGCTAACTTAATTACAATAATTGTAAGTGGGGACTGATTAGTCTTTCTAAAGCATCCTCTTACTCTCTTTATGCTCAAAGAGTAGTGTTTTTCCCCACTTCATAATTTATGTCTTGTGAGGACAATATTCCAGATGAATATTAAATACATCATAAGGCCTCTAATAACAATCATTACTCTTGAACTTTCTAAATCTGGTTTACACTGAGTCATGATTTAAAAGCTGTATTCATGTAACACATAAAGTCAAAATCAATGGCTCAGCATGTATGAAACCTTGGTAGCAAAACTGTTTATTCAGAAATTCCACTAATGTTATAACAAGATATGCAGCCTGTAAAGCAAGAAGCTGAATATAACTTTGATAGTTTTCCAGATATTTACAAATTATAACACATGTAAACATTTATCTAAAATGCATTTGATAAAAATATTTCATCTTGTTGTCCATAAGTCATTGTATTGCTACATACACTAATATAGACCCAGTAGGAAAATCATATAGATTTTTTATTGATCAAGAGCAGATGTTGAACACTGCTGTGCAGCTTGTTCCTGTTGTTGAATAATTTCCTGTGCTTCGCGTTGCATTTTCTCAAGTTTTTCCAAAGTAACAGATTTTAATGGCAGCAATTTAGGCTTGCACATCACCATGGTAGTTACATCTTCTACTGCTAACATCCCTAAAGCAATAAAAATAGATGTCTAATAATATCAAAGAATAAATTCAGATATATTGAGATTAAACAGATTCAAATATTACAGTTCCTGTTCGGATCTCATAAAATTATTGATGTGTATATCCGTGTATATGTAAATACTGCAAAATAGGGGCTGATTTTTCACACAAGACAATCACATTAAGAGATTTCCAACTTCACACTCAAAATGGAATCACAGCATTTTAGCTGGCAAAATCGACTTCAAAAAGGGATAATTTAAAAGACAGAAGTCCACACAGCCAGAAAAATTGACTGCTGCTGCTTTAAGGCAAAAACAAACTTGTTTTGTAATTGTTAAGTTGGAAAATAGAATTCATCCAATCTACCTTTTGACTATCTTTGGTCTAAACCAAGTTCTAGTAGGTGAATCTTGCTATTTGAACAAAATCACTCATATCTTCAGTCTGAAATAAGCTTCCATCTATGTCATATAGACTACTTTAAAAGGAAATGGTATTATTGCCAAGAAGGAAACGTGTGTATTTTTCATATAATATAGAATGATAAATTACTAGTTATCTGTAATTACTTTGTGACTTTATTAAACTAATTTTTATAACTTACCAACTCACACAGAGGTGATTCCAAACAACTTACAACATTTAAAAATCCCCACATAAGCTCCCCCCCTTAATTTAAAGTAATAAGTGCAGAATTCTTACAAAGGACTCTGGAGAACATTAAGGTGGATTTTGCTGCTTCCCCCCCCCCCCCCCATCCTTAGTAATAAATGCTGCTTACCTTGCTTGGGCAAAACCTCACGAAACTTTGATTCAGACATTTTGAAGGTGACAATTAAGGTATAAATTTCTGATTACAAATCAGGAAATTCCTGTAAAGATAAATATTAGTTGTTCAACTTAGTACCGTTATTAAAAACTAAATTCCATGATTCAAAACTTCACAAAAATGCTCCGATTAATCAATCGGGCCTTGCATCTCATCATCTCATCTCTGAAAAATTACACAATTAAAATGCCTAGAAATGAAGCTTCAAGCTTACAGCAACCAGAAACGCAAAACACTTTTCCGCCCTTTACATGGTCCGTGGCTTGAGCCTGCGCCTTGAGGGGCTCCACAGCTGCTTTTGGCCGGAAAAGAAGGAAACGTCTGCTTCAAAGGCAGCAAAGTGCTGCCATCCCCTCTCCTCTTCGTTCTCGTCCCCTGATCTCATTCCGCGATTATTGGCCCGCCTTACTTTCTTTTCCCTCCGGGCACCGGGCTCAGCCTTGGAGACCTTCCCGGGAGTCGTTCACCGCAGACTTCGTGAACGCCCGTGTCTCGCAGCGCTCTCCTTTTCCTACCCGACTGCCGTCAACGGAATTCCTTGCCTGTCATGGGAACGATAGAGAGTTGGCGCGCCGAACTCAGCCAGGGCGCTGCCATATTGGCTAAAAGCGGAAAAGGCTTTGTTGCTCTTAGCAACAGATGAGTAAAAGGCCGAAGAGAAAAAGAGCTTTCACATCCGCATCGCGAGAAAGCTGCATTTTATCCTGCTTTAGGATGATTAGAGCGCAGTTGGGAGTACGAGGTCGGGTCTGAGTACCGCATTACTGATTGTATAAGCGTGGAGAAGCGGGAGCGGACTCAGAAAATACCTACCAAGGCCTAGTTAAGGAAGCTGGAGATGTTTATCTTAACAAAAGAGAAAGTTAAAGGCAACGTACGGTCGCCGTGCTTTGTATAGTTTGACTTCGATCAGTGTTCAAACTTGGCCACTGTAAGATAAGTGGACTCAGCAGGCTGGCTGAGGAACTTTGAGAGTTGAAATCCACACATCTTAAAATTGGCAAGTTTAAAAAGTACCGATTTAGATTATCCTCTGATGCTATTAATTAGATTGTTCATTATTGTCTTTCTCCTTTTGTTGCTTTTAATTCTGTGCTTGGAAATGGACAGATCGAATGATGTAAACATTCTTAAAGAGCCATTTAGTGACCATGTCTGTAAATAGATTTATATTTCATATTAATTAGGTTCAACATTTCAAAACTCTTTTTAGAATTCATACCTTTCATTTTCTCACAAGGAAGCAGGCTATTTCATACCTTTCAAGAAGCCAATAGTTTACTATGTGTTGTAGAAAAGTAGCTTGAATGAATTGCTGTTTCAGTTCAGATGAAACAAAAGCAGGCAACTTTTTTTTCTTCTATCCACAGTGGTATTATAGGCTTCTTCATGAATTGAAAAATAAAAAATGATTGGGAATAGGGAAAGCAAACACACAATCTTAAACAAAATATATGATATCATGGGAAAGATGGAACTGGGATGTCCATAACAGGTACTTATGTACTGTATCTGCATAGTTTCCAAATCCAATTTTGCCTCTTGAATCTGGATCTATGCATAGGCCTACAGGCTAATTGTTTTGGACCACATTGTGGGCAAATTTAAAGCAGAGTGCTTTTTTCCTTTGTAATCATTGTTTTCCTGACATCTCTTACCAAAGTGTTGAAGGAAAAAAATACATAGCTGTGAATTTATAGTGCTGTCCATCCTGCAATTATAACTCTGACCCTTGATCTTTTCTAGAGGTATAATGGGATAAAACTAAAGCTTTCAGGCATTTTACTGCATAAGTGCAGCAAAACATGATTACTTACTAACACTATCAAGCCAGTAATTACTTTGTGTATGAAATCCTATGCTTATATGTATTTTGACTGTTATCTAGCCAGTGAAGCCTTTCAGCCTTATTAATAGATATCATTAAGAGGTATTTATAAACCATTAGGAATTAATCAGAAGAGGACCATAATGTAATAACTTGAGGATTTCCCCCCTGAAAACATTTGTAGAAACAGGTAAATTCAAGATATATAAACAGTTCATGTTCAAGATGGTAAAGTTAAAATAGTCTCCCTAATTTAGCTCAGAGAGGTATGAATGCCATGATTCTGAATCTGTTCCATTTTCAAAAGTCTTAGTTTTACTTAACAACCCCACCTCCTTTTTCATACACCTGCAAGTATAAGAATAAAAAATGCTAAGCTGAAGTTCTATGCATATTTGCTTGGGATAAAGTATCTCTGAACTCAATAGACATGCAAATTTATGCTATGGAAAATGTTTCTAGTGTTTGGAAATTGAGTTCTGAAGTTCAGTTTATTTCTCATCTTTCCCTAGGACAAAAAAATTAAAATAATAAAAAATAGTGTAAAAGAAAGTGTTTTATACAATTTTCATGAATAGTATTTATCTATTTAAAATTGTTGGCAGCCCAACTCCAGTGGGCTATGGGTAAGGTACAAAACTAGATAAAAGACAATATTAAATGAAACATTCCAGAGCAAAATATCAGAGAGAGCAAAATTAACACAATAAACAACAAACTAACAAAAAAATGGGGGTCATTGAACATTAATCTGGGCTGGGACCAAATCCAGGTTTTCAAAATAAAGTTATATTAATTTGAATGAGTTTTCAATATTTGTATGAATCATAGAATTAAAAAATTCAAACCCAAACTAGAAGTCCACATGAATAATTTCATTGATAACCTCTGTATTCAATTGAATGCTGCATTATTAGTTCATCAGCCTAATTACAACAATGCAGTCTTTCCAGATAAGGAGAAGCTATGGTAGTGATGGTGGCAGGGGAAACAGGCAACTGGGAAAAAACAGATGCTCCCCTTGGGTCTAGCTGGGGTAATGCCTTGATGCCGGGCCATCCTTCATCTTCCTTGGGGCAGAATCATGCTTTGTTCTTAGCTTTGAGTTGTTGGCCTCAGTGACTGTGATGAACCCAATGAATGTCACAGTGCTCCACGTGTCTGCCAGTTACACAATGTTCCACATGTCTTGCTCAACTATGTCCCCAGAGAGCATCAAGTTTCTGGTCATGACAGACAACCTTCTGCTGTAATTCTGGCAGTTGCTGTCTTTCTATGTACAATGAGTGGGAGCTTTCCATTGTTCTGGGCCACAGATGATATTCTTCCCATCCTTCCCTCTTTGTCTCTGTCTAGACCATCTGTCTGCTTTGCTCTTGCTTCTCCCTACACCCACAGAAATGGGTGGAGAGCATGCAACCTCACCAATCAAGAAAAATATAGTCCAGAGGGCTTATCTTTCATTGTTGCTTGCCACCAAAATGTCATAAGCTGCATGTGGCATGCGAGTTTAACACCCCGTGTTAGGGTAACAACACATATTTTATTATTTTGATCTTTTGCTTCTATATATCTTTGCAAAAGGAAACAACAAAGAAAGGTCAGCTGATAACTATATACTTTAGAACAGGGGTCCCCAACCACTGGTCCCCGGACCGGTACCGGTCCATGGATCATTTTTTACCGGGCCGCAAAGCTTGGGCGCCGCCATCTTGTTTCAATGGCGTTTCCGGGGTTTTGGTTGCTTCCGGGTTTTCGGTTGGAAAGTGCTTCCGGGTTTTCAGTTGGAAAGCGGCGTTTGGGTGCTCGCGCCTTAGTTTCGTCGAAGGGGGGGCGGTGGCTTCGAACGAAGAGCCATCCCGATGGCAGTGGAGTCTTGCGTTACTCAGGTACCGGTCCGTGGAAGAATAAATAATTGTGAAACCGGTCCCTGGTCCAAAAAAGGTTGGGGGCCACTGCTTTAGAAGAATCCATAGTACAGGTAGTCCTCGACTTACAACAGTTCACTTAGTGACTGGCACTTGAAAAACTGACTTATGACCGTTTCTCACACTTATGATCATTGCATCATCCCCATGGTCACATGATTTACATTCAAATGCTTGACAACTAACTCGCATTTATGATGGTTGCAGTGTCCTGAGGCCATGCGATCATCTTTTGTGATCTTCTGACAAGCAAAGTCAATGGGGAAACCAGTTTCATTTAACAACTGTGTTACTAATTTAACAACTGCAGTGATTCATTTACAAATATGGCAAGAAAAGTTGTAAAATGGGACAAAACTCACTTCACAAATTTCTCACTTAGCAACATAAATTTTGGGCTCAGTTGTGCTCATAAGTTGAGGACTCCCTGTATATAATGTCTTATAAAATGCATGTTGTTTTGTAGCATTGGAATGCCATAAGTGTCATGTGCAGCACAATTCAAATGGTTCTGTTTATGATAGATCCAAGTCTGACTAGTGTTTTCTAACAGCTATGTAATAGCTAAAGGAAGAGGCAGGCCACAGTTTGAAACTGACAGCAGATTTATCTGTTCTATAGATCCTGGTATATATTTATTTTAAATATGTATTATATGTGGATCTCAGTTAAAATAAAAAATAGCATATAAACATATACACTTTCCATAATTACAAATAATGCTTTATACAGTTTTTAAATTGACATGTTCATAGTTATACTTTAATCATTTTACCTTAAGGTATATAATAATGGATATGATATGAAAATATATTAAATTCAACATTCAATATAGAATGATTAAAGGAGTAGGAGAAAGCAGTTGCTTGTAACTTTCATACATTCTAGCATGCCAGAGAATTCTAACCATATCTACTAAAATCTAGACAATGGAGAGGGAGTGGGGAGACCTTTTTCAAATGCAGACAGATACAACCACCCTATAATTCAGTAAGTCCCCTATGTACAGAACTGTAATAAATTTGTTTAGGTCAAACCTAAATTTTGGCCAAGAAGCCTAGAAATTAGTAATAAACTTCTTAAATAATAAAAGTACTCATTTTTTGTCTTTGGTTAAATGAACCCAACTAAAGGGAGTTCTTTGAAAAGGAATTAACTTGCTGCCAAGCCTTACAATATGTTTGAATCCTGATTAACTGCCTGCAGAATTAAGAACACTCTGATATAGGAAGCTTGCCCAAGAATCCAGCTTGGGTTCTGTTTTACGTTAAAAGTATCCTTCAAATGATACAGACAGATCCAAAGTGAAATTTAGCATTCTATTAAAACATGCAGCAAATGCTTATATAATCATCTACAGCACCATTTCTATCTTAGTATTGATAAATGTTTTTGATTTTACAATATCACAAAATATTTTGCTGTTTCAGTTTGTTTTCATTTTTATACAAAAATTTACATCTTGCTGTCCTATGTAAATTATGGTTTTGGACTATATATAGTGGTAGAGTGGTTAGAAAGCAGTATTGCAAGCTAATTCTGCTGACTACCGACTGCCAGCAGTTGGGCAGTTTGAATCTCGCCGGCTCAAGGTGGACTCAGCCTTCCATCCTTCTGAACTCAGTAAAATGACTGCAATATGCTGACTCTGTAAACTGCTTAGAGACGGCTGAAAAGCACCATGAAGTGGTATATAAATTTAAATGCTACTGCATTTATCAAGTTAATCATTATGTTAATAATTCATCAGATATTCTTCCATCCGTAACAGATTAAATAGTAATGCCCTAAAGCACGGGTGTCAAACCTGTGGCGTCATATTGCCATCACATGTCGTATCACGATGTTTTTTCCCTTCACGGAGCTGGGGTAGCCATGACCTGTGCATGATGCATCCAGCCCAATTTAATACCTGTGTCCTAAGGCATTTGACCTGGGGCAAAAAATCCAAAAATTCAAATTCATATACTCAGGAGAATAAATATAATAAATTAATCAGCTCTCCTTTAATATAGCCTTTTTTGTCTGTTTCCCCAGACAAGTTATTTGATAAGGCCGATGATAGAAATTTTTTCCTTCCTAGCAGTATCTATTCAGTTCAGAATAATTCCATTTTACATTTATTTCCTGTCTTTGTTCAGTTGGTGCTAAACTCAGGATATACAAGAGAATATAAGATTAATCAACTGTGCCAACACCCACTTGCTATAAAATTTAAACATTCTTAAAAGTTGTTTGAACAATATTTCTATATTTAAAAACTATAAATATTTTATTTATGGCAATGAAAACATAATGCTTTAGC